AGATGTTTCTAATTGAGGCATATTTTTTTAGGCTCAAACTGCCGTAGCTTGGTACAGAAAATATTGCTGTCCCTTCAAAGTGAAGTTGATCATGTTAGCAATGCTGTGTACTATCGTAACACATTTTGCAAGTTAATACCCTCCTACATACAACCTGTCTGGAAGAGTCCCATCAGAAATTTTCACAACTGCACTAATAATTTATGGAGGTATTTGTCGGTTTGGAAGTTACGGATAATCGGACGGGTCATACCATGACACAAAATTCATGAAAAACAGCTGCTTATTCATGAAACATTTTTTAGTTTGGTATTCATGATGTAAATGAACAATTTCACATTGGCCCTAACATAACACATACATTGATCATGTCTATGGAGCGGCCTTAAGTTATGGAGATCCTATTCGAAGGCCAGACAAAGGCCTTAGTGTGGTATTGATCTGGTTGGCTGGTCTGACAACAGACATAAATACCACCAGCTTAGTGAGAATCAAATTAACTCTGCCATGAAAACACCAACATTAGTATCGAAAGATAGGGAATTATCACTTATCAAAACATATTTTCAAACTTTGAAACTAAACTCTGTTCCGATGGTTACATGACACACAAACTGGTGTCATCCTGTGTGCTACCAGGCAGTCAACAGGGATCTCTGAGAAACCCACTATTCAAACTTGGTAATTTTAAACCTCGATCCTACCACAGCATGTTCAAAACTGGCCAGGCATGAAACTGACAATTTAGTCAGCTGACTGCTTAGTGGGCATGGAGATCTACCAGATTTTACAACATATTTAGCACACTCGAAATTCAAATTTCCAAACCACATTTTAGTCAATTTACATTCAACGATGGCACCAATAACATTTGATGGGTGTATTAAATAAAATGTCACCACTTAGTCAGATATGCAGAGGGCAGACGATTTCACATGGTGCTCTAGAGAGGTGGTATTTCCCACCTATATCACATCATAACTGAGTTAAGTCCTTATAAAAATAATGTAGTTCCGATCACACTTAATTTGAAAAATTAGTAGGCTGGTAAATAATTTTCACTTTTCAAACAACCCTTTAGCTGGAGAACTACTAAAAAGGTGTTCGGTATATGGTTTCATGTGGGCTCTTTCTTTAGTCCCAAACTGTGAGGAGACTGAGAAACATGTTAGGTCAGCACCTAAGATTTGGGTCTGTCTGGTCAAGAAACATGTTAGGTCAGCACCTAAGATTTGGGTCTGTCTGGTCAAGAAACATGTTAGGTCAGCACCTAAGATTTGGGTCTGTCTGGTCAAGAACCACGGACCAAAATAGCCTTGCCTGAACCACAAAACTTAATACTTTAGGCCTAATTTATAACTTACACAGTACAATGTTCATGTTATCTCAATGTTATGTTCACTGTAGACCATTATACACCGAAAGAGTAAGTATAAATTTTATACACCGAAAGAGTAAGTATTTATTTCATTGACCGAGATACTGCGTTGGTAGAGTTACTTGAGTTTAAATTTTATGTGTCAATGACAAGTAGAGAAGCAAAGTGGGGTTTTCAAACTCCGGATCATCAGTTAGACAAAAAGCAGAGCAAGGTAAAAGGGTGAAACGATATTAAAAGGGTACACGAGGTCAGAGTACCAAGATTTGGATCAGGAATGGGGAGTGTCACAAGGTGAAGGGCTGATGAACTGGCTTGAATGACTTCCAGGATAAGGGGTGGTGCAAGGTAATGGAGCGAGATGCTCTTAAGTTGAGGGTGGATTCAAATGAGTTCGAGGTTAAAGCTCAGTCTGGACTGGCGTTTGAATGCTGTACACTTATGAATGAGTGAGTGAGCATGGTTTTACACCGCTTTTAGCAATATTCCACCAATATCTTGACAGGGGACACCAGAAATGGGCTTCACACATTGTACCAACGTGGGGAATCGAACCCAGACGTGACAAGTGAGTGCTTTAACCACTGGGCTACCTCGTCCAGTTCGGGAATCGAACCCAGGTCTTTGGCATGATGAGCCAACGCTTTAACCACTAGGCTACCCGACCGCCCCACTGTACACTTAAGAGGCAACACAGTGACAGTGAATACTATGAACAGACATTACAAACTTGTACCTATCTTCAGAATCAAACCCAGACCATGTGTGCAGCATGAATACAGCCTGACAGGCAGGGGACCAACCAATCTATGGAGGCATACTGAAAACAGCATTTGAAGCAACACCCAGCAAGTGAGACAGCAATCAGCAATAACAGAGGCAAATAATTCTGGATTGGGCACGGCAAACTAGTGGTTGATAGATGAGCAATGATTCAAGGTTTCAGGAGTCAATGATACATACATTACCAGTGACCAAAAAGATTCACAACGAACATTCTTGGGGTTCTAAAGGTTTTCTGTGAAAGCATTTCAAATCTGTAAACCCCCTAAATGGTTATCTTTGAATATTTGGGTTGTGACAAATCCATGCCATTTGACTTCATTTCAAACACACACAATCCTTATTTTAGTCTGATCATCAAACAAGCGAGGTGTACAAGTGACTTATTCTAACCAGAAACTCCTGCAGGAGTGAGTGAGTTGGATTTTATGCCGCTTTTAGCAAAACTTCACTAATATCATGGTGAGGGACACCAGAAATGGGCTTCATAGATCGTACCCATGTGGGAATCAAACCAAGGCCTTCGACATGATTAGCAAACTCTTCAAGCACAAGGCTATCCAACTGCCCATACAACACACAGAGATCCATAACAGCATATAAATCCAGCAGCAATGACAAGAACTAGTTTGTTATACCGAGGCCTCAGAACACGGTGCGGACAATGCAACACGGAGTGCAGCGTAAGCCGTTGGCGCAGCAGGTAGCATCTCTGCTTCTCCCTTTACCCCAGACGGTTAAATAAACAGTATGCACAGCATGGGTAGATACTGCATAGCACTCAGACTTAGCTGTTAACTGAAGAATGTAGGCCACAGGTAGCCAGACAAAAACTACCTGTCGCAGTCTGTCCTCAAGTGGTAGAGAAGGGCTACTGCACTCAAAGCATTATGTCTACAAACTTAGTTACTTTTCAACAAACAGGCATGTTGGCATGGTGTATGAGAATATATATACAGCAGTTTTATGTGGGTATTCTTTCTTTCTAGATTACGGGAAAAGTTTACTTTTCAATTAACAGGCATATTGGTATGGTGTGATAATATACATGGGTATTTATTACCTATCAACTTTACCTTTCAATTAACAGGCATGTTTGTATGGTGTATGAGAACATATACCACAGTCTCATATGGGTATTCTTCACCAATGCCTATATTACCTATATTTGTATCTGAATCTATTATACTAGAATAGTCATAGGGATTTCTGAGCATACATTTTTCTGATCGACTTTTCCTTCACAATAAACAGCCTCCCAGTATTCCTGGTATGTGCCTACAAAGATCTTACTTTTTAACATATGGGCTATCATGTGAGAGATACAAAATATACTGCCCGCCAGGGAATTCCGGCTCATGGATATATGAAAAAAAATTCAAATGATGAATCCCTATATGCTCATGAAATTCCTGAGAAAAGGCAAAAAGATTTAAAGTGTAATGGTTTGTTCTTCACCAGCTAACCTATTTTGTATTGAAAATACTTATATTTTCATAATATTATTCTAATAAACAGGACGCTTATGAGGAAACCAGTCCCAAGCACACATGGAAATGTCTACTTCAGGTTTAGATTTCATAAGTATTTCTCTGTACAACGTTCTGGCACTTCTGTGGACACTGCAAGCGCTCCTTACGGGGATGAAATAACAAAATAGTTTCAATCACCAAACAGGGTTCTAAGACAGGTTCTAACATTGTCAGAATGGGCCAAGTTCAATAGGCCAAAAGTCACCCTTTGACAAGGACTTGTAACTATCAGGTCTGTTGACTCAACAATTCACAAAATACGCAGCTTTGACAACTCCCTGTTTTGAGAGCAATCTTTTTGTGTTGTTCTTAAAGAAAAACTGACATGTCAGCCATGAAATAAAGAACATGGAATTTACAAATGCCTTATTGTTACAATATTTACAGTTTATTTGTATGAAACATAGCCACTGTTGCATACACACCTCAATATATATTATTATATCTCCTTTGTATATTCAATAGACATATTGTGAGGTACCACTCTGTGATCATGTCAAGTAGGTTTCTATGATATCACTAAGTCACAAATGAACAAATACCCTTAAACTTGTGGAAACTGTGTTTATTCATGTGTTCGCCTATTCTTCGCCAAATATTTTCAGATATTCTGAAGTAGTAAGTGTTATTAATAAAGGTCTTTGGACCATAGCCTTGTGTACTAAAGGAACATTCCGCAATGAATTACACTGTATTGTTGAAGGGAACAGTCATATACACATGAACGATTCTCCAGACTAACACCAGTAGGCATAAGCCTGTCTGCTTGCCCCGTGAATTTCCTTGCTGTCAAAAACTAAATCGAGAGCAAGTAACGCTCCTTGGGGATAGAGCTTGTAACATTTACCAGGGCGTATGAAATCAACAGAAATACTTAAACTTTCTTCGAAATCTAACCACGAAATACAGATCTAAAGTGTTTAAACTGCGATTAACCTCTCGGGATGTTGTGGCACTTGAGTTAGGTGACTGACTTGACAGGCAGTCGAAGAGCAGACGTAACCCACTGTCGTCTGCAACTCTGCGTTCATGAATATGTATATCACCTGTAAGTGGGGCAACCCTCATTTACAGACAGCGTTTATCTACAAGGGAGGTTTTTTCAGCCACAGTCGTATAATTAACCATCTTTAACACTAACTACCTCCACCTGTGACGGAGCGGTATAGCGAGGGACGGGACCGTTGTTAGTATACATGTGTCGTCTGTCAACCGAGCAACGACTGTCCTAGATTCGACTGTCTGTATACAGACACGAAGGGGACTTTGGGCATGTATAGATGGGTTTGAATAAACAATAAACTTACCTGAGTAAAGGTTGTCGCCTTGACCGAGAGACAACGGTACTAACCCCAACCACACCACACTCCAAAATATCGCCCTGGAAAGAAAGAGAACTTTAGTGCACTTTTCACGATATAATCCACACGAAAAGTTGGTTAAATATCCACGAATGATTCCAAAATACCTTAGAAGCATTTTGCCGGGTTTGAAGGAAACGCGCACATGCAAACGCCTTGACGTTTCCGCATATAGGTATATCCCTTGCTCTCTGCAACACCCCTTCTCCCTCCAAACCTCACCGACTGCAATCAGCACGTGTGAAAGCGATTGCTTGGACGAGTCGACTAGCTGACCTCATGGGGGTGGCGGGTCACGCCGTCTGACGTAAGCCTAAAATAAACAGTTAGCTGTTCGGCAGTCGGGCTACCCCGGGATCATTCATTGAAGTGTCTGCTACTGCCTTAGACTCGACTCTTAGTCGAACATTCATGGACTGTCTTGACTATTTCAGCAACGCTCTACCTAGTTTTCCCGGGGTTTGCACGTGCGTCGGGACGATTGGACATTTTGTGACGACGTTTCAAGGAACAGCTAGTGCATGTCTTAATTTCATTTCGCTGAGATCAACTCGTGAAGTAACGCAGCGCTCAAGTGCAAACCGCTCTGTACCCTGTTCTATAAATTAATCCCCGCAAACAGCACATATCTTAAAGCGCAGTAAGTTTATTATCCAATTTTGCCAGCGAAGGTGTCGGGGCGACTTGCCCTGGTTTCCGACTTGAGCTTATTAAACTGAACTAATAGCTCGCAAGTAGTCCAATGAAATCACTCTACAGGCACGTATTCCCGACATTGTACACCCAATAGCAAATACCAAAAGTGTATGTTTCGTTTGACATGCTGATTTTACGCTTTGAATAAAAAAGTGGAAATTTCCTTTAGCACCTAAAGGCTTGCTATATGGCTTTATTGGGGAAGAGGAATAATTCATGAATTGTGTAAATTCCCAGCCTATGACTGAACTGAAAGTTATTTTAGTACATGTGCTGGTTTATTACTGTCACCCTTTAGTGAAACATAAAAAAATAAAGGTATGCTCCATTTTGTTCAGTCTTGCATGGCATGTCGACGCTGTAATTTGCACCATCTCTGAACCTAGGGCATTGTCTATGTAATAACGGTAATTCCTGCTAGATTAATATACATCATAAACTGTGTGTTTTATGAACTGAATCATTCTTTCTGGGGCTGTCAATTGGCCCAAACCTAGTTCACCTGAAAGTCAAAATCTTCATTAACTTTATCGTATTCCCGTGCGACCACCTACGATCTTACATTTGTCACTAGACGGGGCCTAGTCTGAACTGATTTCCCAGGCACCATTGATATTTATGCTAACAATTATTCAGGTTTTAAACACATAAAAAATATAAGCTGGCTGAACGTATTAAATGTCCTGCCTGAAAATAATGTGTTGAATAAAAATCAATTGTTTAGATCCTCATTTCAATGATTTTTTTTAATATGTGTCTTGAAGTAGTCACCGAAATATCATTCTCTCTCTAACAAACATCAAAGAGCGTACCCTTAAGTTTGTTTGATGGGCTGTCCCCGTCTCTCTGTGTGTGAGTGTATGTAGGTGTGTGTGCGTCTGGTGAAGGTAGATTAACATAAGTGCACGATGTCTCTGCATGCACAGACATAGACGCCACCTAGTAGGTATATAATATGCATCAAGCATGTATTGTGGAATGGGGGTGGTGTGTGTGTGTGTGTGTGTGTGTGTCTGTGAGGGATGGGGTAAGGGGGGGGGGGGGGGGGGGGTAGCCTAAGCTAACGATGTCCCCTGCATGCACAGACGCCACCTAGGTATATAATATGTATCAAGCCTGTACAACCTGCTCCCCCTCCCTCCCAGGTTCGCCATCCCCCATCATCGATCCCACATCTCGAGTCACCGACCCCGCTCCCCTCAGGAAATTCTTACAACCCCCTACATATGGACATCAAAACACAATAGCTTTCCATGCTGGAGTCGATTAAAATATCCATGCTTGTTGTACTTCCGACAGAATGCCGACTGACTGGGTCAGCGTAGGCCGGCGACTAGGGACAAGTTTGGCCCAAGTGAATCTATATGGGTTTATGTGAAAATAAGTATTTACATTATACATTACAAGTAGGGACTGATGAGCTTATCTGTACTATCGATCGGAGAGTCCTGGAAGGGTCATACTTTAAATGCATGTATGGACGAGACTGGTACTTTTTACATTTTCTTTTATTGTGAGTCAGCTTAATGTCACAGTGCGTCATATGAATATGAGATTGAGTGGGTGAGTATGTTTTTACGCCGCTTTTACCACTATTCTGGCAATCAAACTGGCTCTAGTTACATGCACCTGTCATGAAATCGAATAGTGGTAAGTGAGTGTGTTTTTACGCCGGTTTTAGTAATATGCAAGCAATTTCACAGCACAGGACACCAGAATCGGCTTCATATATTGTAGCCATGTTGAGAATAGGACCCTTATGCGTGACGAGCGAACGCTTTGACAACGAAACTACCCGAGCGCCCCTCTGAATGATTGAAGAAAGCCGAAGGTGATGCAGGTTGCAGCGTTGGTCAACCCATGAGGATGGATGCTGTGATCACAAGCCAAGGCTCATGCCCAAGACGAATCTGGGACCAGCAATATGGGGATCACTGCACCACTGACGAGCGAAACACCGTCAAGTGAATTGCGGCGCCTCAGAAACATGGAACACCAGTGTTCCCCTTTCCTAGATTTGATATAACTTGCGTTAACGTTATTATCGGAACAAACCAATCCGGCTTCATGAATCGGTGTCTATCTGTATCTATGCTTAAAACGCCCAGCAAAATTGGCAGCGTATTCAAGATGTCACGTCAGATAAACGTAATTGGAACGATGTATTTCACAACTGCAATGCTATAGGTTTATGGGAAACATTTCAAAGAACGTATTCGTATCACTAACTATTTATAAGCCACCATTAAATACCTCTCTCTCTCACTCACTCTCTCTCTCCCTCTCTCTTCTCTCTCTCTCTCTCTCTCTCTCTCTCTCTCTCTCTCTCTCTGTCTTGTTCTATCCCGAGGCTAAGTTATTGTTTTCCATTACCTTCTTTTTGGAATTTTGTCTTTATTTATTCTAAAACCTCCCTCACTCCACTAGACCATGAAAAGGACAGTTCCCAAGTGTCCAATACGATGTATAGAGAATATGTGTTAGTTTAGTGTCATGGACCAACTACTGTATGCATGGCACTCCCTGTACGCACGATATTTCCCCCGTTCCCACATGAACCTAAACCCTAATGTAATATACCGTATAGTAATAATGTCCACTTGTCACTGTCTTCCGGTAGAGATGAGGTCTTCAGCAACTCATGCTTGGTGACTGTGCTTGTCGTAAGAGGTGACTAACGGGATCGGGGGGTCAGACTCGCTGACTTGGTTGATGCATGTCATCGTATCCCAATTGCGTAGATCGACATCATGATGTCAATCACTGGATTGTCTGGCCCAGATTCGATTATTTACAGACCGGCGTCATAAATCTGGAATATTGCTGAGTGCGATCCATGTATCTGTTTCCCAATCCGATCCAGTAGCTATGAGCGTCTACAACAACCAATGAGAGTCACGGAAGTCGTAGCGTTACGACCATTTGGTGAATATGGGAAAGCAATGAAAACGTTCTTAGTGTAAAGACTGCCGTAACCCTTTAGTTTTATATCTAGACTTAGGTCTGTGGTAACGCTACGAACGCTTTGTGGACTTGGCCCCTGGTGCGCATGTGTCTGTGAACACAGGTGAGATTGGTGCATCATGCGAGTGTATGGTGGTACCTGCCTCCTTCACGCTGGCGACAGGCAAACACCGGACACATGCCGGATTGTGTACAAGCCGTCAAGATACTAACGATTTATGTTATGCAGTTTGACCCAGTTTTGTTAAACGTACATTCTGAAGTACCGAGGAAGGGGTCTCGAATGAGGAGGGGCTGTCGTGGAGATGTCGTCGTGGTGCTGCGTTCGACCGTACCATGCGACGTGATGATTGGACATCGTTGTTTGTTTGTCTATTATTTAACCCCGCACTCAGCAATATTCCGTCTGTATGATGGCAATCTGTAAATAATTGATTCTGAACAATCCAGTGATTGATATCATGAGTATCGTGTTACGCAATTGGGAAACGATGACATGCATCAACCATGTCAATGAGCCTTACAAAAAGGGGGGCGGTCGGGTAGCCTAGTGGTTAAAGCGTTCTCACGTCACGTCGAAGACCCGGGTTCGATTCGCAACATGGGTACAATGTGTGAAGCCCATTTCTGGTGTCCCCCGCCGTGATATTGCTGGAATATTGCTAAAAGCGGCGTAAAACCATAATCACTCACTCACTTACAACAAGGATGGGTTTTGAAGAACAATTGTTACCCGATTCTTCACGGGTGTTTGGACAACGTAAACTAACATATTCTATGTAATCTACTGTACATGTCTCTGTATTGAGGTATCGTATCGCATTGAAAGATCTGATTTTAATGAGACTGCTTCCAAAATGTCCGGACTGTGGCATATCGCTAGTAACTTGATAGTTTGCCATCTAGACAGGTTTGGATTAAATTACATGCAAGTATTCCACAATCCTGATGCAGCAAAATGGTCAAAGATGTCAGATGGAATATTTTGATAAGACTAAATTCATTATTTGCCGTAATCAGTTTTATAATTAAAAAAATAGATACTATTTTTGTGGTGATTCTCGAGGAACAATCTCATTAATATATGATCTTTTACTCCGATACGACACCTCTCCAGGTAAAGATCTTACCACACCAACATGCACGGTGGCGTTGAGTGAATATTTTGCCAGTCAATCAGCGTCAAGGCTATTAAATTCTCGGTAAGAGTGATCGAAGCATTGAAACCAGCATGTATCTAGAAAATGGACAAAAACTACAGGTCCCGAAAGTAGAAATTATATAGCGGCGCCATTATTTTGTTGTGGATATGTCATACATCCTGTCGTTAAAGAGAACCTTTTACACCCAGACGGAAATACCACCGACGGAATATTTGTGTTCAATGTAGGTTCTCATTTGAACAAATGGAAACTTCCAAATCGAGTCGGCGAAAAACATAAAGCCGAATCGTTTTAGAAAGCTGACAGTTGATTGGCTCAAGAACGCACACAGTCTTCTTTCAGATTGGACCGTCAAAGTTCACAGAGGGCTCCCCCGACGCGACCTTGGAGGTGTCGTATTGGAGAGAAATATCTGAGATTGTTCGACGGCGACTAACGGGTTCGGATGACCTCTCGCTGACTTGGATGCTGCATGTCATCGTATCACAACTGCGTAGGTCGATGCTCATTATGTCAGTCACTTAATTGTCTGGTCCAGACTCAATTATTTACATACTGACGTCATATTGCTGGAATAGTGCTGAGTGCGG